TTTTTCCTTTCTGAACTACTTTTAACCTGAGTCCAGGTCACCAAGCAGCTCCCCAGCTGCACAGACACATCCAAGCTGGCAACTGAGTGATCAAAATAGGGCAAGAGCCTTGTAGGGTGATGTGACTACTCCAAATATGTCAAAACACCACCTGAGTGATTGCAGAACTAATTACTAAGTTCACATTAGAGTAAAAGGAGCCTGGCATGAGCCCTTTGAGCACAGCACAGATACATTTCCATCTCTGCCTTGAATCTGCTGTGTCAGAGGTCTGCTGCAGCTGGCATTTTGAACTTAATGTCATTTAAAAGAAAGGTACCACATCAAGGTCATATTGAAAATAAATTGGGGACATGATAAAATCACTCAAGTGGACTTCAGTTCAATACACCTTTGAGGGTTTATAACTTGTATAATTTCTCTTGGAGGAAGGGTTAAGCTTGAGATCTATTATCAAAGCAAAGGACAAAAGGCTGAAGAAGCTGCCCATATTCTGCACATGTATTTGGCACTTTTGGCACTTATTTCCTCTTCCAGTTTATGAGTAGTAAAACATCTGGGTGCACAGAGCAGTTTTGCACAGATGGCTGAGCTCAGGAGGACTTGGGAGCCAAACCCAGTTTATTGCAGCTCCTGCTCAGGCAGTTCTCTGTGCCCAGGCACTGAGGCTGCAGCGAGCTCCTGCTTCACAGGTTACAGGGCAGAGGCTCTCAGCCCCTTTGCCAATCAAGCACTGGTGATACAGGAGAAATCCCTCTTCTGTCCTCAGGACTTTTCAAACAGGTGCCTCATTACATAAACACATGATATGTACATATGCATTTGTACCTAATTGTTAATTCTATCTCAGTTTGTAGTTTCTGGTAATAGCTCTTTTGATGCTGCTGTCAGGCACCACTGTGTTCTAAGTGTTATCTCCTGAGAGGATTTCACAAATCACTCAATATGAGATGTCGCCACACCTCAATCAATAAACTTGTATCATGACCCTATTAACAAAGAGGCTTCCAGTGGCTGAAACCACATTTATTTGTACAAAGGATGGCCTGAAAAGCAAAACTAATCTTGTTTATTGACAGAGCTCAGCTCTGTGAAAGAATAGTCCCTTAACAAATCATTTAGCCAAGATATTTTGCAGAAATGCTGCCACCTTCATGAAGGACTTTCGGAGGTGATTTATTTCTGCTCTCCAGCTACAACTCCTGGTTTTCACTCTCAGTATTTTCTCCACATGCAGCTTCCACTTGAGAAGCAAAGGGGGAAAACCAGGGGAAGTATTTGCCATGACAAAGCTGAGCTCCCCTTTTCCTGGCTATTTTACATGGGCAGAAATCTGAGACCTGATTCTCCCTCAGATCCCTTCTCCAGCTCCCTTCCACACACCACCTTAGACCATCCCTGGTGGCTGCTAGAGCTGATTATTTAAATATTCAGAGCTGTATTTTCTCAGTGCTTTGTGCAGACAGAAAAGTGGGAACAGAACAATCATACCTGAACATCCTGCAATGCAGGGAACACCATGAACCCCCTAAGCTACCAGCAGATGAAGAACCAAATGTTCCACAACACACATAACAAACCTCAGCTTGGGAAAACTTGACTTCTCACTACACTCAAGTGAGCTCCTTGTTTCTGAATAAGCCCTGTGCTACTCATGCACTCAGCAGTCTCAAGCATAAGCATTGCTTTGGTTTTATTCATGAGGCCATTTTAACAAGATGACATTAAAAGTTATTTGGACTGGTTTTTGGCAGAAAGTGAGCTACAAGGTCAACTGCTTCATTTGTTCTCCTCTCAGGCCTTTGTTCTCTATAACCATCTCTTACATAGACACACTTCACTTTTGATTGCCTGGCTTTATATGGATCTGAAGCTGGTTTATAGACATACAAAAGATGTTTCTTTTACAGCCTCCATATGTAAAGGAAGCCTGAGAGTCCTTCATTTATGAGCCATCAAGCTGAAAGCATGACTCCTCCTGCACTTTGGGGAACTGCATTTTACCTTCAAGGGGGTGCATTAGGTGGGGTTCTCTGCTCTCCAAACAGCTCTGCTGAGTGCCAGGAGCAAACCCTGTATTCATGGCCACCTCTGCTCAGGTCACTGAAAGTTTCCACTGTGGAAAAAAGACAAATACTTTGGTCTTTGGGATCTGCAACAGAGGGCAGAGCAGTTTGTGGTTTTCTGTCCATAGGTGGCTTTGCAGTAAGGAATAAACCCTAAAAGGAAGTGCTGGGTGATGGTTGTGCTGTCACACAGGTCAGGGGGACCTCAGCAGGAAAGCAGCTCTGCAGGGACAGCCCTGGGTCCTGGTGACTGTGGGTAACATCTACATCCCTGCTTTTCCTCCCTGCTTGCATCACAGAGCAGCACACAGGGATCCCATATTCCCAACTTTTCTGCTCACGCCCCACATGCAGGGCCAAGGCTGCCCCAAGGGCCCCGTGTGGGTGCAGCAGGTCCCAGCTCACTGCTGCAATGGCCATTTTTCCCTGAGCCTCCCTCCTGGCAGACCCCCAGGAGCTGTGTGGCACCCAGAGCCCATCTCCTGCTTCCCTTCACCCCATTCCTGCCCCCAAGGGAAAATGGGACATCCCTGGTAAATCTGCACCTGAAGGAAATGAATCCCCCCTCAGTGGCTCTGTGCAAATGCCCTGCAGGCTGCCTGTAATCATGTTACCCTGGAGTGCTTCCATCAGCCTTTGGGAAGTTAATCCTGATTTACAGTTTTGAAAATCAAGTCTAGAGCCAAGCTCAGAGTTCAAGGGTTGCTGTTAGAAGAGGGGGAAAAAAAACCCCAGACTGCTCCTATTAAATCCAAGTAGTTGCCAGTGATTCCACCATTTGGATTAAGCACAGGTTTGCCAAGAGCACTGAAATGGGAACAGGCATGTGAAATAATATTTCCCATTATTAAACAGAAATTAATGGGATTTTTTATTTCAGCTCTGGGGAACACACCCTAATTCAAAGGGTTGATTAAAAATAATAGTCCATTAATACAGCTCTGCCCCAATCCCTGCTCCTATTTGGACACCCAGTCTCCACCAGCAGCACCCTGGCACTGATCATTTTGTAGGAAATATGAAATGTTAGATTTTATTATTCATCACATGTTTAAAAAAAAAATCACATACAGGAAGGAATCAGGGAGAATATTATTATGGAAATAGCATTTCAGACAGAGTTTGTAAAACATTTGTCATATTGCAGAGACAAAGTTATAAATATTAATTTAACATTCATTAGGAATGGACCAGGACAACTCCAGCACAGTTACTGGAAATTTTCTGTGTCATGCAAGGCATCTCCCAGCACAAGGAGGAATTATTTGACTGTGCTGCTTTTATGAACAGCTGTGAGAGGAGGTGTTCCCAAGGGACAGGAATATTCCTACTGGCAGAAGCAGGGAGTCCTGCAACAGAGGAAAAGAAGCAGTGGATAGTGGAAGTTTTCCAAAAGAAAAAAAGTTTTCAATAAAAAATTCACTTCTGTCCAAATGGGGATTTTTTTGGGAAGGTAATGGATTTCTTACAGAGGCTCTGATTTTTTTGCTTGGAATTAATTCATAAAAATCTTCACCCTGTTCCATAGATATTTAGATTCCATCTTCTAGACTTTTTTTTTTTTTTTTTAATGCTCACAATAACTTCAGCACAGATGAAAATATAGCAGGGAAAACTAAATTTTTGTATGTGGATTGACTAATTAAAGTGCAATTAGCCTTATCTGTTTAATTATGCATTATAATACATACAAAAAAACCACGAAAATTTACTGGATATACTGGGAGCTGTGCTGTGTATGGTGTGTGTTGCAGCACACAAAGAAGATTTCTGCTGAGGAAGCAAAGTATTCATTTGTAGCAGATTTAAAATCACTCTATAAACTCATTTTATTTGTTTTATATAACTATAGGTTACACTCATTTTTCTTTCCTTTATGTCTAAACTTCCATTTGCTTTTAAGGTGTAAGAATGGCTCATTACTGTAGTTGCAGCCCATTTTTTGTTTCTATAACTAGAACTCATTTTTATGCCATATTCCCCAACCAATTTCTGCACTCCACATGCTCCTCATTCCTGCAGAATTCTCCTGCTCCCCCTCTTCCATTGCAAGGCAGCTCCTTGCCTGCCAGGTCCCCCTGCAGCAACTCCTCTCCCACACCCATAAAATCTGACTGCTCCTTGGTGCTGCTGTCCCCTCCCAAGGGGATGTGTCACTGTCCAGCACCTTCTTAAAAATGCTATCTAAGCAAACTCATCAGATTGCTCATGTGAGAGTTGATAAACACAAATGTATATAACCCTCCACTCTGATATTTAATATGGAAATGAGGCCAGTGGTCATGGTGTTGGTGTTACATATATATATATATTAAAAAAATTTGTATTTTAACTAACAAAGGACATTGTAAAGCCTACAAAGTTCTGTCTGACAGGTTAATTTATAAAGACACAAAGACATTTATTTGTCTGTTTTGGATAAAAGGTTTCCTTTTTATCCAAACTTGCCAAGTTTCTCCCCAGAGCAAGAAGGATTTTGGAAAGCCAGTTCTGTGGGAAGCCCCAAGACTCACTAGAGGGCCACAGCCCATGGCAGGCAAGAGATGCCACGGGAAGTGCTGGGTCTTGAGAAGGCAAACAGGAAAATCTTGTTGTCCTCAGCTATCAAATGTGAGAGTACAAGAGAAGACAGATGTTATTCTTGAAGATGCAGAGAATGAACAGATACTGTCCTCAGCTATCAAATGTGAGAGTACAAGAGAAGACAGAGATGTTATTCTTGAAGATGCAGAGAACGAACAAGGCCACAGATATGAGCCCCACCCAGAAAATTTCAACTGTGTATCAGGAAAAAAATTGCAATCCTAGTAGTCAAACATTACAACAGGGCCAGAGAGGCAAAGAATCTCCAGCTTTGAAGCAGGGAAGTTGGACTAAGCAACCCTCCAAGCTATTTTTTGTGATTAAATACAAAACCTTGTTGAAAAGACCCACTGGAAATAAGGTAATTTTAATTACAGCCATCAATTTATATACACAATAATGTGTATTTTACATATATCAAGGAAAAAAAAAAAACCATACTGCATTTCAAAATTTGTTTACTGCAACAACAGAGGCAAATAGTTAGGAATAAGTATAAGTCACTAATATTAAGGAAAGCCACAATGTGTGTGTAAATTGAAGCCAGAGGAAAGCTACAGAAGCTCAGTACTCAGAGACATTAATTCCAAGGGTTTCACAATACCTAACTCACCTCAACCTCATTACAAGAAAATGGAGTCTGGATTGCAGGGCTGGATCTAGATCATTATCCAGCACCCATAAGCTTCAGGTTCCTATTTACAGTAACAGTTCTGAGATGTTAAACTGCAAGGTCAAGGTAACTGTTTTAGTTCTCATAACTGCAGCCTATTTTCACTAAAATTGCCTTAATTAACTTAGAATAGTCTGTGATTCTATAATTACCAGATCAAAATGTCACTTTAAATCATTCCTCATTTCAGGATATGTGAACACTGAACTAGCTGTAACAAATTTCTAATATTTTCAAAGTCAAAAGTTCATTTTTACTTAAAAAAAAGCCACAATAAAACTCTTAACAGAGGCTTAAAAAGGTCTTTATAAAATAATCTCCATCACACTTACAATAGTAAGAAAATGATTCTGGTTGCTAGTTTTTAGTAAATATGAACTGGTTTGTGTAATCTGTATTAAAGATGGTTATAACTTCAGTTCACATTTCATTTCTTAAAGGGGAATGAACAAATGTGTCAAGAAAAGTAGATTATTGCTGTTTCTCATCAAGTCCTTTTTACTAAGGACATGCTGCCTTGGTAGGCAAAGCATGTCTGGCAGCCAGCTGAGACAGGAGAGCTGAAGGAGAGAAGTTATGATTTGCATGCCAAAAAACCTTTCTTCAATCACCTTGTATTTGGCAATGGTACAACTGAGCTGATTTAAGATCAAAACTGTGTCATTCCATCCATCTCCTGAATGACAGTCCTGATCGTCTCATAACTTAAGTTTGCTTGAAGTGACACAAGAAGGTAGAATCCAAGCAAGTTCTGGACTGGCAGGAAAAAAGCCTCTGATGTTTATCCTCTCATGTGCAACTCTGAAAATACCAGATGTTCTTCAGAGGGTTTTTCACCAGGTCTGCTGGAGCAACGGGTATGGCTGTGCAGAGAGAACAGAACGTGGACATATTGGAAATAGGAAATCTATCAGGTTTTCTATTCCTGCAGTAGTACTGATCAAATCAAATATGCCACTATTCAATTTCAAGAGGGCTCAAAAGGATCTAAAAATCTGTACATGTTTTTAATCAAACTTTTCATACAGTAAGCCTCTGAAATGTACTTTCTGTGGACACAAATTGGCAATTACAATTGCAAACAGAAAAAGCTTACAGCTGCTAATAGGGTGTCATTCATTATACACTTTAACCAGCTGTTAGATTCTTTAGCTTTTGATAATAAATTATCCTAGTGAGGATGGTGACAGTTTTTATGTCCAAGGTTTAATCTGCTGGTGCACTTCTTTCCATTGTTTATATGAAACCTTACACTACTATTTCACCAAGAGCAGCTTCTAGAAGAGCTAAATCAAGTTACTCATGCAAAATAAAATGGATGCTGCTGTCAGAAGCACCACTGGTAATAATTACCTTCATACTGCCACCTTTCACATGTGAAGGTCTTAAAAGAACAGAAAAAAAAGAGAAAAAACCACATGACTGCTAACACTGGGGGAGAATTTTCCACTTCAGTACTTCCAGATTCCTTGTGATGTGATAATATTTAACACAGCACATGTAAAGACATTTCTTGTCATGTGGAAAAGATCTGGTCTTGTGGTGTGCAGCCTTCCCAAGACACCACTTCAGTGCATTCTGCCCTCCCATTTAAGCATTTAAGCATTAAGATACCTCCCTCTGGTATCTGAATCCCAGTCTCAAACACTGTCCAGTCAAGCCAGTGGTGGGGGATATTCTGAGCAACTCCTGATGGATTTACAGACTTCCCTGAGCTTTGCTGTGTGACATCCCGCTAAACTGTCCCCCAACAGTGGAGTTCTCAAAGAAAAAACCACAATTATCCCAGTGTCTGCTGGCTGCTGAGCAGCAAACTCCTCTGAGCTCTGCACTGATAAATCAGCACATCCCATTCCCCCCTGCAATGAGGCTGAAAGGCATTCCCTTTGCAATGAGATTCCTATGATTTCAACCAGAGCCATCATAAAGCAATAGAAGTTGAGAAAAAATTCTGCAGCTGTGACTTGAGACTGTGCAAAAGCCATTGTGATGACTGATACACCACTGTCAGAGCTGTGCAGCCAGCTGGTGCCTTTTCCTTTTACTTCTCCATGCTTTAAAGAAATGCATTTGATCAGCCTTGACATTTTATTTTTTTTAGAAAAGCTGCTATCAACTGACCATCAGAAGCATTTTGTTACAAAAGAGTACTAAAACTGTATGGTATCAATGAAAGACACCTAAAATATTCCTCTGAAATGTCAAGCATTTCTCTTCATGCTGGGTATTTATGTACCTTGACATTATCAGCTCTTCTGAAAATGGAGAAATACATCAGAAACTATCTTGTATGATTCCAAAAAGGCAAGGTGCATATTATTTCTTCACTGCCTCTCAAAAGTATTTTCTTTTCTGTAACAACCAGTGATGCAAACTGGTACAATACAGATCCTTAGTTTGGAAACCTGTATCTTAAAATAAAAATAACTGCAAGAATATTTCAGATCTAAGATATTCAATTTTAATATGTATTTAATTTCTTTTCAAAGCAAATTTCCATGCTGTGTCTTTTCACTTGTTCTACAGAAATTCGTAATCTATACAAAGATAATAAAATACTGACCTATATAAGGGCAATATCAATAGCAGGGGGGGTTTTTTGTTGGTTTTTTATCAACAGCATCAATTACCAATAGCAATGTTTATCACCTTCTTAGGAGATAAACAGCTTTTTGCTGGCAAATGTGCACCATTGTTCAACCAATCCTGTATTTAAAGTACACCAGTGAAACACTTTTGGGGTTCCTTAATCTACTGCACTGTACATAAAGTTTCATCATATCCAATTTGACCAAATTTTCCTATTCTTGAACATTCACTGAACAACAGAACTGAAGGAGAAGCATAAGAAAGAGATCACACTTTGGTTGTATTTGTAGTGGCAATTATTATCCAGTACCAAAAGCACTAACATCATATATCTTCTGGAAATGAAATGAAGAAGAAAAAGGCTTCCTCTGCATTCAAGTTCAGAAATTGTTTTTGCAATCAAAATGACATTTAATGGCTGTCTGCTTCATAATTCAAACTTCAGAGGAGAAAGGGAAAGTAAAGACATCTGAGCTGTAGCTGAATTTGATATGAGCACAGAAGTTACATTAGAGCACACTTACAAATTCATGTTTTTATACATCAATGCTGTGGCTGCTCAGGATTGATATTCATGGTCCTGTATATCTCTTTGAGAAACAGCAAGGCAGTGTCTTCTGATCCCCTACAAAGAATGAAATAAATAAAACAAAAGCAAAAAAGGGAAGGAAAAAAAAAGTAAAAAGTTAGTTCAGTATGGTCCACCTTCTGATTTTCCTAAGTCACATTCCATCCTATTTCAGCTTTCCAAAGAGTTTGCACAACCTCTTGGCCCAGTATTTATTTTACATGAACATGGCCTTACCTCCACCAGCTTCCTTCAAGGTGTAATTCTACACAAGTTCTGCTATCAGCCCTAGCCTATGCTTTTACCTTCTTTCTAGTGCATTTCCTCCTCCTGTCCTCCCTAACTTCCTATGCTGCAACTCCAAACCCCCTCCTCTATCCTCTTCTTTGATGTTACTTCCTCATCTTCATCTCCTCAAATAATGCATCACTTTTTATCCTGAATATATTCCACACTTCATTCTACTAATTTTATCCCACTCCATTAATTAGCCCAGTTCCAGCAGCAATATTCTAATTCTTCTCTAACTGGCAGGCCCTTAATTGTAAGCAGACTGTGTTAAACACCCATAGTCTTCCTCTCTTGCTTACCACTAAAATGTTAGATACCTTTCTAATAATTTAAAGATTAGTATCATTCAAGTGCCACATTTCCAAGTGGATGTTTTATCTCCTCCTTTCAAAAATCAAAGCTTCAAGCTGTCTGAATCTAAAGTTAACATGAAGATGCTTAATTTTCTTCTTCATCTATAAAATGCTATTTAAACAATACTAACACATAAACAATACTAACATAAAAAACCCCAATGTTAAACAGGCAAATTTTAACAAAGTTCCAGAGCTGCAGGAGCTGTGAGATGAGGGCAGCCTCCTGTGCTTTTTAAAATAAAATATCTAGGGAGCCAGTAAGAGAGATTTAGATGGTCAGAACTGTGATCCTCCAAAGGATGTGAGGAACATAATTTGCAGAACACCAGTACAGAATTAAACATGCAAGCTAAGGGAATACATGTATATTCCAAATTGAGCACAGACATTTATTGACAACCTCTGCATTAAATGAGCAGCAAACAAGCAAGCAGAAGGTTCAACACAGAATCTCCAGTCTCTCCAACACTCACAGCATTTCATTTAAAGCTTTTCCCACCATTCCTCAGGAAAAAAATGCTCTCCTATTTGGGTCATTAATCACTGTGCTTATCTTCCTCACCCGAATGACAAAAGCAGGCACAGGTACGAAGCTTTTAAAATCCTGGCAGTGATGGGCTGCCACCCTGTGGCAGGAATTCCGGTCCCTTCAGCGCTGCCTGTGGAACGGCACTGCCACCACCGGGTCACCCTGACAGAGCCCAGGGCTCACAGCAGCCCCGGGAACCCTCCTCTGGCAGGTGCTGAGCTTCATCATTCAAGTGATGATGGCACTAATGAGACCCTTCAGGTAACGCCTTCAGAGCTGTGTTTTAACCTCTGGAAAAAATGCCTGCTGCTAAAATTACCTACTGATAATCAAAACCTTCAGAAAGAGCACAGAGCACTCTTTGTCCAGCACCTGCTGAACTCAAAATGAGAGACCAGCCACTCCTCCCTCACCAACATCACTTTGCACAGCTCACAGCTGACACCCAAGGTTAGCTATTACATACCAAGATGTGCTGATAAATATAGTTCACACATCCTTTCCTCTGCCAGAAGAAGCAATAAAGTTTTACCACTTACTGTAGTCTAATAAAAATCCTTCTTGAACACTTTTATTTGAAGAGGTACAATTGTGAAAATGCTTCCAGAGTTCTCATCGTTTTGAAAATGACAGTAGCTAAAAATGTGTGTTTGGAGTGTCAAAGGTTGAGAGAAGGGTGTGCAATGTCTTTACTGCAAATTTGCAATATTATTGCAAATATTATCATATATAATATTGCAAATTTGCAATATTATTGCCAATATTATTATTGCAGATTTGTTCACTGTGTGCTAACACAGATTTTCCTTTGAAATAGGATTATCAAATAGTGACATGCAAGCACTACATCCCGAGTCTGACACTCCTGGACAATCACATATACTGTGTTCCTTAAGCACAATTTCTGGAATCACAGCTATCTCCCCTTACCAGTAGCACAGGTGGCTCTGCAAAGCAAACAGGTACTCATTGAAGCTTTCTATTGGTTTCTCTTGTAGAACATAATCAATGCGACGCCCTCCATTCAGCATCCCAACCTTCACTGAAACATCTTCGTCTTTTGGAGGGTCTGGACTTTCAGTGATCTTCTCAGCTAAAATCAAAGAGTTTCACATTTGAACTATTTTCAAGCACAGCCTGCTTGACTATAATTAAGAAATATTATCCATTTTTTCTGCTGTAATTTCCAAGTGTTTGTGATAAGACAATAATAACCTGAACTGCCCAGCATGGTCCAGAAAGGGTACTGAACTATAGGCTTACTTCTCTCCTAACAGTTTAAACAGTTTTCTTAACAAGTAACTGCTGAGTGATTTCCCCCTGAACTCACTCCAACCCACAAAGCTTTCATTGTAATTTCTCTCCCATACCCAGCTGAGGAGGAGAGTGACAGAGCAGCTTTGGTGGGAACCTGACATTCAGCAGAAACCTCTTTAACAGGGTCAGGAAAATCAATAGCAAACAGTCACTGAGACACTCAAGTGTCAACTTATTTGAGACAAGTAAGCTACAGAAAAACCAATAATGTGTCCATGTACCTTCCACCACTTGCTTTTCTTCCTCCTCTTTAATTTGGTTAGCTACTTTCTCCAGCTCTGCTTGCAGCTGGGTTGAAGATGTATGAGCACGTGCAAACTCATTAAGGGTCTGCCACGCACTCTTCAAAGAGCTAATAAAGCCCTGCTTCAGATCAGATCCCATACGAGACAGAGAGTCTTTCAGCTCTGAGAAAGAAAAAAAAAACACACCAAAAATTTAATTCAGAAGGATTTAAAATTACCAACTACAAGCAGAATGATGAAGTTCTGTTCAATAAACATCACAATTACCAGGGGAAACAAGCCTGCTAGGTGAAATGCAATTAATACACAATTGACTTCATACTGAATGGATCAATGAATCCACCTAGATCAAAGTCAAAACAATAAGGAGTACCAGACCATATTTTTCTCCTTTACTATACACACTTTTGGAGAGTTGTAACCTGAAACAAGTATCTTGTGTAGTCTAGCAAAGCAGACTCACTCTAATGGACAATTCCAAAGGACAGATGCTACAGAATCTCTCCAAGTGCCTGAACAGAGGCTTTCAGGAGGGCTCTGTGAACTTGCACAACAACAAAACTGACTTTCCCTATTAGATGTGCAAAATTTAAGTGGAGCACCTTGGTCTGACATGCACCCATGAGCAACAAAGCCAGTCCCTGCCCTCCGATGGCCACAGAACCTGCTTTTCCCTCAGGGCTCCCAACACTGAACAGACTCTGGTTAAACACATCATGGTGGTCATTAGGGACACAAATAAATTTAGTTTCTGTTGCACAGCTTCTTAGAAATGAAGGTGATCAAGCAATGTACAGCAGTGCTTTAATGGAACTTTGGTAATGAGAAGGTTAAATCTGGAGGAAACGTGATTATTACTTTTGAATGGAATTGTGAATGCTGAACTAATGGGGCTGGGTGGAATCACCTCTGATGTCTGGAAAAATATGGAGTCAGATATCCAGGAATATTAATTAGTCTCTTAAAAGCTTACAATATTCTAATGCATCAAATGGGAAATAATGAATAGGATCCATATGAAGCAAGTTTTCTTTTTACCCAGATGAAGTCTTTTTCTGCCTTTATGATGTGGAATGAGAACTGGTTTTAAATCCATGTCTTCAATGATCATTGGTTCTAACCTGTAAGCTACTGGATCAAGCTGTTGAGAGACAACACATTGACATTTAATTATCTTTAAAATTATCACATTTCAGTGAAAAAAAATCCCTATTTATGGATTATAGACAACCATTTTTGAATTCTGCACTATCTGAATTTACAGAAATTCAGTTCATGACATATTAAGCAGGTTCATGAACTACTTTGGTCTTGTTCTCCTACAGAAAGAGATTCTAATGAGGTAACACAACAGCAAGATTTCCTTGCACTCAATCTCTATCAACATTAAATTGTTAAACAAAATGAGACAGAGGAGAGCAAACACTGCATGTAAAAATACAAATATTCCATAAAAGTCTACAAGAGTGGCCTCAAATTAATGAAAAAAGCCCAAACAACTCCCCCCAACCAAAAAAAAAACTTCCTTAATTCTGAAAAGAAACAAGGCAAATATTATGAAAACAACCCATGCCTGGAAGTGTTTTAGGAAATGTACACAGGGGAACAAGAGGTGTAATGCTCAGATGGTAGAACTTAGTATTCTGCCTTTTTTGTCATCTACATCAACTAAAATCAAATATCAAAAGCACTGCTACTCACTGGGTGATAGATATTGAAGAACCCCTTGCAGGTAGGGAGCCTGTAGTTTTCATCAATCTTCTCCACACCCCTCACAGTAAGGAACACACCAATAGGGGAACCAAGAGCAAAGAAAATATCTGGTTCAAAGTCCAGTGCACTGTAAACCACAGAAACCTACCAGGCAGAAATCAGACACATCATCTCTCAGAACTGTCAGCTTCAAAGGAAATAGCAAAATGTCATCAACATTAAAAAGAACTTCAGTGAAACGAGAGGATTGATCAAATCCTTTAAATTGTTCAAATCATTTAGATCTGCACAGTCTCACCTGGCCAGTTCCAACTTCAAAATACTCATAGTCAATGTTCACAGAAGACACAGATGCACCAACTGGGAGCTTCCTCTTTGTGTGCATCTGACCAGACTCTGAAGGTGAGACAGAAGAAACTGTCTCTTTTGATTTCTGGGCATCTTCTTGAGTCTGGAGCGTGGCAGCCAGCACTGCTTTCTTTTCTGCTACTGCTTTCTTCTGTTCCTTTTGAGAAAAGTTTTAAAGTTAGGGAGAAAAAAGGTTAATTTCACAGCTGTCAAAATTCCTTTAATACATTCAGGATGTTAACAAGAGTGTTCAAGAATAGAAGCTAGTCCACAGCTAGCATTTGCTTAACAACTTTTAATTTCCATCCTGAAATATGTAATTACCTGCTTGGCTGCTCTGTCTTTTACAAAATTAGCTATTTTCTTTCTTGGTCCAAGAGGTATCCCCATCTCCTTCAGGTCATCAACTGTACACATGAGCTAAAGAAACAAACACCAAACACACACATAAAAATTATTTTTCTAGTAGAAAAAGTACTTATAACTTTTCTAGTAAAATAAATAATTTCATACTGGCAATGATCTATGAATTTGTTAAGTCAATTTATAAAGCTACAGAAAATACAAAAAATTAACAAGACATGACACAAAGTGCCTAACATAACTGGGTGGATGCACCACATCAAGAAAAAAAAAAGCTGCAGAACACTCAGTCTTCAAGCCATGCATTGATTATCTTATCTTTGCAACTGCTCTCATGGCCACTGAGAGGAAAAACAAGACAAGAAGAAAACCCAAACATAAACCTCCAGTCCCTGGGCAGCCCCTACAGGCCCAGTGAAGATTTCAGTACCAGAGACTCCATGTCGATCCGCTCCTTTTCGAAGGTGCTCACGTACTCTGACAAACTGAGCATTTCCAGAGTCCTCTGCAGAGTGGGAACATCTTCCTCTGCTTCAGCCTCACAAAGGTCATCAGCAGAAGTAGCAATGGAGGAGCCCAAGGAACTGGTATCTTCAGTCATCTCAACAAAACAGCACACAAACAGAATCACACCCTCTAACAGTGGAAAACCAGTAAGCAGCAAGCAAAACCAAGTTTAACTACTTTCTCTTAAAAACATTATCAGGCAAGCTCTGTAAATATATATCCATTTTTAGTGAAGCAGGATACAGATGTGCCACTAAAATAGACCTGCAAAATAAATATTTAAAAATTACTGTGAGAGATAAAACACCCAAAAATGCTTCCTCTTATTCCTCAAACAACTGGTCACCATTTCTAGTCTAAACACAGATTCTTTCCCTTTCATACATCTGCCCCATCATTTACTGCTAGACCAAGTTACATGTTCACAAGTGTCAAAGCTGATGTTCACCACCAAATCTCATTACTGGCCTACTTGAAACTTAAGAGAGAGCTAATTAATTTCTCCTGAGAAATGACAATATTTACAAAACAGCATCTTTCCATTAACATGTTTAAAAGTATCACCAAAACCCACAAACTTGGTTCAGCTAACAAATTCTAAAAAATTAAGAAAAAAAAGATTGAAAATATCAGAGTACAGGCCTGGAAAGACCAGCATGCAAATTACCTGTTTATCATGAACGTCCTTCACACTCCCATTAACACCAGAGAATGGTCCAGAATTTACTGATGAAGCCAAGTCCTTCTGGTTAGACAATATGTCAAATAGAATTAAGGAACCTGCAAACAGGAATTAAGAGTCGATGTGGGAAAAATATCAGGTTTTCCTGTCCCTAAATCTTGAGCAAGATTTATATGCAACAATAATGTCACAGTATAGTTTGATCAAGAGATGGCTGAATGAAAATACTCACATGTTAACTTGAACATAAAAAGCTAAAAGCAACCCCTTTTCTTCCCTGTTCATGCTTTATGTAGTTGCCATAACTAAACTATTTTTCCTTAAACTCCTAAGACTGATGAACTGGAGGAAAAGTTCCAGTCCAAACCAGTATGTCAATATTCTGCTCTAACACTTATTCTATATTCCAAAAAAATTATTGTATTTTTACTAAGTGGGGGCTCTGACAGACATCACCTACCTAACCAGATAACCTGTTAACTTTTAAACACACATTAGACACTAAGTTTTCACGAAGCGAAGTACTAACTTTCTCTCAAAGCCAGATAAACTCAGCTGTTGAGAGGAGCTTGTCAGCTGTTTTCTGAAAGACAGCCATGCCCGAACAGCTAATTTGAGTTTCATGCATAACAAAGGGGCCATTTTCCTTTTAAGAGGAACTGATTTGGGATAAAAGCAGCATTCCTCAGACAATCACCTAAGCTGTGCCCAGCCACAGAGACTCCCCCTTTGAAGTCGGGGTTGCGGCTCATGAAGAGCGCGTACAGGCGGTTCATTTCCATGCCCACTTTATCCACGATGGTCTGGCAGTAGGTGGGGCTGTTGTAGAACAGGATGTCCAGCAGCGTTTCGTTGGTGAAGTGCCTCAGGCGACCAATGCTCGGCAAAGTGATTTTCTTTATGTTCCTGGTAACACAGAATCGTTAAAAGCATGAAAGGCTTTTAAGAAATGCTCGCGAGAACCTTGTTAGCTTTTGAAATTAATGCAATGTAAATGCTACAGAGAGGGTCTCTAAAAGAGATTTTAAAAACTCACAACCCAGCCTTCTGGCCTCGTTGCATATTCACACATTAATGCTACCTGCTGATTGTAATATTTGAGAAAGATACAGCTCCTTTTTTTTCTCTCCAGGCAGAAGGGGTACATGAAATAACCTCTTCTTTATTCCAACACTGCTCTCATAAAGTACCATGGAAGTTTGGTGAGCAGATTGAAGTGGAAGAGAAAAAGGAACTTGCATATAAAATTAGAATCACAGAATGGTAATACTCTCTTTTTGAAGAAGAAGCTTGGCATCACCATCTGCCTGTCTGGAGTCAAGACAGCTGCACTGGAATTGCTATAGACTTCAGACTGCCTGGTTTGATTAACAGAACAAGGATCCCTCCTCATGCAGTGCCCAAATGCAAATAAAACACCAAGGCTGGAGGAAAGCAGTGTGATTTGACTGAGCTAAAACAGTCTGGAGAACATCAGCATCACTTTAAGAGGCACAGGTTGCCACTCTCACAATTTTCACTTCCCCAGCTTTGAGCAAGGGAAACAGCTTGAAATGTGAAGTCATAGCAAAGGGGTAGGCCCAGAAAAGGGATTTTAAAACAGATTTTAAATGCTGTAACAGTCTTACCCAAATACAGATACTTTGCTTTAAAAAAGAACCCCTTAGCTCAAGTGCCTAATCATAATTCAGGCACTCCTCTAGGACTGGACAGAGGGCTCAGTGCCTTCCTCAGAAATAACTGCTAGGGTGAAACTGAATCAGACTGCAGGAAAGTAAAGAATAGACAACTCTGCACTCTAAACTGTGCACACCTCATGGACAGAACATCTCCAGGTTCACCACCTCATCCTTGTGACCACAATCTCCACACACTCACTCATCAAGTATCATGCATTGGCCACTCTCATGCAAATCCAGTACTGAAAAGTTGTGTGCAAGAAAATGAACACGAGAAATACTCCTCACACCCTTCTAGCTTTCCAAATACTCCTTGTCAAAATGTTAATTTAAAAAAATCTGCAATTCTCTAATCCAGTCATACATTTGCCATGCAACCTGCAGAGCAGTTCTCTTTTTCTCCATTTTCCATAACCCATTGAACAGCAGCTTTTAAGATGTTTTCAACATTAAACAACACCCTCACCTGTCTACACCAGTTGCATCTCCATGCAGAGAACTGTGCCAGTGAACTGGAAGGAATTCCACCCTGCTCACTTTGCGTTCCTCCAAACACTTCTTAAAGTGAGTCTGCAACAACTTCAGAGAAACAGTCCTAAAATCATCAACTGTGAAGAAAAAGAATAATGAAAATCTGATAGCTGCAGTACTCAAGTAACAAATAAGTAATCCCTCCTTCCCCTTAATTTCACAGATAGTCAGAAAACAAATGACTGAAAGAGGAAAAATCTTTCCAAGTATTACAATTCTAACAATAAGAAAGTACTCATTTTAGTGGATTTTTTAGCAAGCTTCGATAGAAGCTTGCTAAAAAATGTCTCATAATGACTGCCTGTACACTCCATAACCAGACAGGGCTTTTTTAATTTACTCAGTTGTACCAGAGTGTATTTAAAAAATAAAATAAAAGCAAACACACAAGCCACACAAAGCAAACACATCCACTCACACCACAAGAAAAAAAACTGATCAACTAAAAAAGCCCCTTCACCACACATCCCAAAACTCAAATCACCCTGCAAGTGAGATATTGAGAACTAGTAATAACAGCTAAAGCTTCAATTTTGACAGAACACAGATTCTGACTTTGGAAAATAATCATGAAAAAATTGAACTTCTTAACATTAGAGACTTTTCTTTAAAAAAAAAAAAAAAAAGACATGCTTATCTGAATATGAGCTAGAGAGAGCCACATTTAAACAGCAAGAATACAACTGCTCATTACACAAGCCCAAACTTACCACATTCAACAATGCTTCTAAACCTCAAGTCACATACAGGACCTATGCCATGAACCATAAATACCAGATGGTCAATTTGGGACATTTCTCCTGTAGAAAAAAAACAAAAAGGAAAACATTCAGAGTACCAGTATGTACAGCAGGAGTGAAGTTCAGAGCCTAGCAAGTGTAATACACACTTGTTGAATAAAGCCTATCACATAACATGGTTCAGGACATAACAGAGCTCACAGGACTCCTTTGATTAAAACAACCCAAAACCAGATAACCTCAGCAAACAGCTGAGATGAAGGAATAACTTTAATCTTTAGACTCCAGGCACGAACAGCACACAGCCACTCCACCCACCATTGTCCAGCTTCTGCACAGATCCAAACTGACTGCTCCCAGTGCAGACCCAAGTGCACCAGGAATCTCATCACCTACCATCAGGAATCTCATCATGGTCATCATCAATTCCACGTTTCACTACCCTTGGCCTTGCCTGCCCATCTTGAGTGGTGCCCCATTCGTCTGGTGTGGTAGAAGGCTGGAACTGAACTATGACCTGTAACAAATACAGCATCCAATTCCAACCAAGAAAACCCTCATGACTCATACTGTTAGTGTGAAAGCACTGCATAGTTCAACATACTTTTTGATTGCTTTGCCTTTAAACTGAAAATCAAATGTTTTCTTCCACAAAATCCTCATTAGTGTGAAAAGCAAACTGATGACTCAAAGTAAGCTCTAGGTGAAGAAGCTGGGCCTGCTCAGTGATTCTGAACCATTTTAACTCCCAAGCCAAGCATAATTCAAGCTCCTCCTTCCTAGTCTCCAGTATCCACTCTTAGCAGGTTATTGCTAATGTGAAGAAATTGAATGCTACCTGATTTACAATAACTCTATCACAAGGAGAAAATGGAAACAAAAAAGTGCAGTGCTTTTCAGGGAAAGACAACAGCATCTGAAGTAGTCCAGAAACTCTAAGAAGTGAGTAATTGAGTAGTACAGCTTAACTATAGTAAGTGTAGGCCTTACAGTCTGAGCTCGTATTTATGACATGAAGGGATTTAAATGCTCCTTCTCTAGATTTTTACTGAACAGAATTCCCTAACCAGGATTATTAAACACTTCAAGCAGGAGCAACCACGATTCTGTCCCTTGGATAGTTCTGTGTATTAATTACTGCATCTGTGATAAGTGAACAGTTAACAGTATTGATCAATAAGGCTGAAGTCTATGTTTTAATCACGAGACTGTTCACAGAGTATTTAGAATAACTTTTAAAGCTTGTCCTGCTATACTTTCTCATAGCCTGAAAATAAGCAGAAACCTTCTCAGGCCTTAAAGCAACTAATTACCTTATAGCTAGATTAATGCTCTTCTCTACATGAAAGCTCTTTGGTATAGACTAAGGTTAAACTAATTCAAATTGCTGACCATTTGCTGCCAGTTATCCTTAGCCAAAATATTTACTATGCAAACCCTTATTCGTTTCAGATTTCAGAAAGCACTGTCTTTTAACCACATGACAGCACATTGAAGCAAGCACAAGTTCAGTGTTCTGTAAACTTGATCATCTTTAATGCACACACACCTAGAACAAACAACTGGTATGTTTCATGCAAGATTAAGAGCACATTCAATTTATGCTTCCATCCATTTGCTCACTCCCCCTTAATGAATCCTGCAAGACACAATTGCCAAAATCTATTACCTTGGGATTATGCATAACAATTGTCTCCCCATTTGGAAATTCCAGTCGCCGATGCCACTGATTGGTAGTTACAGCCCTTTTATATTCTGCCTGAAACAGAAAACAAGTTACACAAAATCAGCATGGCAACCTTCTCAGTATTTGGTGGCCTCATGTAATGCTACAGTTAAAATTTACATAACTTTCTTTATATAAAAATGTCACATGTAGAACTAGACAAGCAGATTTTAGATCACAGCAGTGCAGGACTGAATGCAGGAGCAATGTGGCCTTCTAGACACTCCTCTTTCCAGGATTTGCTTATGTGCCAGAAAGCACACTCTGCAAATCATCTTCATGAAACAGAAAGAATTGTTTCTAAGGTGATTAACACAATGAACTAACAAGGTCTCTGCCACTCACTAACCTCCAACTTGTCACTGAAGTCCTCAGTGTAAGGGATGAAGCGGCTGTCCTTGTCTCCCTTGTAGAACCACAGGCAGCGCCGCACTTCCGAGGGCTCCTCGTCCCAGTACACGGCTTTCCTCACGCGCTCGTACAGGAACACGTCGTAGCGGCCGCCGTCCGTGCTCAGCACCACGCTCTCAGGGTCAGGCTGGACTGGGACACACAGCCACACCTGCTCACCACACGGACACATCTCTGCTCTGTGCTCAGCACCACGCTCTCAGGGTCAGGCTGGACTGGGACACACAGCCACACCTGCTCACCACACTGACACTGCTCTGTGCTCAGCACCACGCTCTCGGGGTCAGGCTGCACTGGGACACACAGCCACACCTGCTCACCACACGGACACTGCTCTGTGCTCAGCACCACGCTCTCGGGGTCAGGCTGGACTGGGACACACAGCCACACCTGCTCACCACACTGACACTGCTGTGTGCTCAGCACCACGCTCTCAGGGTCAGGCTGGACTGGGACACACAGCCACACCTGCTCACCACACTGACACTGCTCTGTGCTCAGCACCACGCTCTCGGGGTCAGGCTGCACTGGGACACACAGCCACACGTGCCTACCACACTGACACTGCTCTGTGCTCAGCACCACGCTCTCAGGGTCAGGCTGGACTGGGACACACAGCCACACGTGCCTACCACACTGACACTGCTCTGCTCTCTCAGCCCAGCCCCAGCCACTCCTGTGATCAATATTAGGCCATTAGGACTGACAGTCACACCATGGCAGAGAAGCTTTGTAACACTGTGATGCTTCTAGAATGCTTCTATATGCTCTGTACACAACAAAACACTTGGAAAAACTTCTAAATATGAATACTCATTCCAGAACTCATAGTTTAACAAAAAGGCAAGCCAAGACACAAGTAACGAGGAGTTCTATATGAAAATATGATATCTACTTGGGTATATATATTTATATATACCCAAATAATCTCAACTCTAACAGCATCAAGCAGTGATGATGTCAGTGAAATAAATTAAGTGGCACAAAACTCATCTTCCAAACATTACTTATTACTGCCACATACATGAGTGGCATTACCCCAACACCTTCCTTCAGTCCTTCTGCTCACCTCTGGATAAGACAGAACTTACCAGAATTATAGACCTCCTCTAGTCTTGCAGAATCCAGAATGCTGAATGGCATCCATATTTGCTTGTCCTCCACCTCCTTACAGTAGAACCAGTGGGGCTGAACTGGCTCGTACTGGTTCTGCAGCAGCACAGGAGGGGCTGGGACCAGGGGCCCTGCAGGCCTGGCAGGCTGGAGCTGGGACTGGGACGGTGGGAACTGAAAAGAGATGGGCTCAGCACCTCAGTCTCACAGGGTTTTTGCAGAACTCTTCTATACTTTGCTATAGGGAATACTCTGAACCTTTATTTCTAACTTGTTTTCCTCCCCAAGAACATTACCTTCCATTCTAAAAATATTGTACACTTCATCATGTGTTTGAGAACTTACACCTTCTCAAACTGAGAAAGAATGTGAATTTCATTACCACAAACACTGTTAAAAACTGCCATGGTTTAGCATCATCATTATCTAAAATCAGTGAGATTTCAAATATTCTCTTAAATTTTCAAAACTTGCGGTGAACTTGTTTCTTACAACCACAAAATTTGACATGAAAATAAAAACATATTTTTCGCATTGTTCATTTACATATAATTATGCTTTTGCATAAAGACTCCTGATTTTAACAAGTGGCCACGTCAGCAATAGCTCTTTTACTGCAAAGTGACTAGAACAGGCAGCATCAGTGGTACAAGAAAAGGAACTGATTTTGAAAGGGTCTACAGGCTTCATAAAGATGATTTCATACAAATTTTACAAAAAACCCAGTCAGTACAACTAAAAGCAGCTGACATCAGCAGTAGCAAATGCCTTGGCTGATGATACATTTAAAGGGAAAAAAAGAGCACCAAAATATTGTACAATATATAAAATCCAATAAACAGAAGTTCTGAAATTATACAGTCTAAAACTCCAGACTGTTTAGGTTCTATTGCCTTTGCTATGTTTTATATAACCTTCACATTCTTTATTCATGATAACATAAATATAACAATAGCTCAAGCAAAAATAAAAACAGTTTTTGCTATTTTCAAGGCAAACGTGCCAGGTTTTATTAACCCATTGGCATTACTTTAATAATGCTTTTGTGCAGGTAGAAAACAATGAAGATTATTGCTTTATATCACCCAAAATTCTCAACCAATTTGTTTTAAAGAATTTGCTGACAATTTTATGTGACTTAATTTCAAAAAATTCTGGCTTCACCAACAAAACCAGCTTAAAAAGAGATTTTAGCCCTTCTCTTTGAAATGGCTGAATGACCTGATTTAAAGCTGAGGCACAAAAAATGCAGCAGCACAGCTGAAACTCAGCAAGCTCAGAAACCCACAGAAAAGAGCAACAGAACTTCACAACCTGATTTTGTTTCCAATGCCCAGAGGCTCACAGAGCTACAGCCTCTGAGGGTACACTCACTTCAAAGACCAGGAAGTTTTCCTGGAACAACAGTTCCAAGCTACTTGGAACTGTGAAAAGTGAAAAGCTTTTGCTGCTATCAAGGGTTCAAGACTTCTTCCGGGGTTTTTTGCAGAGAAGAAAAATCTTCAAAAGATAAAACACACCGCTGAAAGAGGGAAGTGACTTGATTTGCTGTGGCAGCCAGAAGGAGTCACATACCTGTGTCAGCGGCCCCGGGGGGGTCTGGTACATCTGCACGGGTGGCACGGGGGACGCTGTGGCAGGGGGGTGGCTCTGCTGCAGCTGGGGTGGGGTGAGGTAAGGGTTGGCCCTGCTGCTCAGGGTGGTGTGCCTGTAGGGGTTGTAGCCCTGCTGCTGTGGGGTGCCCACGGGCAGGGCAGTGCTGGCAGGTGGGGGACAGCTCTGCTGAGGGGGCTGGTACGGCGCCATTCCCACCTGGGAAGCGGGTGGGGCACCGTAAGACTGGGATTTGGGAATATGTGGTGAAAAGGCGTTTTGCCCATCCTGGGAGCCAGACACGAGTGGAAGTGAAGCGGGAGGTCTGGAGAAGGCTGGTGCTCCGACAGGTGTTGAAACAGTTGTTAAGGGTGGCTGCCCAATACTCCCAAAGGGATCACTGCTGCTGGGAACTTGAGAGAAGTAGCTGAAAGTCTGTGGTGGGTTGGGGCTGGCTGATGTCTGACCCAAGAAGCTGTCCTCTTCCCCAACGTCTGCAGAATCATCTGCAAAAACAAATGGATCACCAGAGATCTTGTGAGAGCTTCAAACCACTGCATGGGATCAAAACTTTCTGTAATACCATCAGCTAGGGCCAAAACTGTTGGCCCTCAAAAAGCTTACACATCCTTCATTCAGCACATCATAAAATGAAACAAAAGATATCAAGTCTTCAAGAACATTTTTAAAAAGTCATGAAAGTCACTCAGTGTACACAGAAAAAGCAACAAATATTAAATAAGAACCCAAAATATAACTGGAGTCAGGACCTTCCCAGGGCAATCTGGCAGGCACTAAAATCCCTTCCAATTTCACTCATCCCTCAAATGCAAGAACAACCTTGGCTCATATCTTTTCACCATGAAAACATCTACTAAGCATAGGACTTTATGCTCCTATGCTCCTTTATGCTCCCATGCTCCTTTTAGGACAGAGCTTAAAAACATTCCTAAACAGGCCAAACTTACAGGTTAAACCATCCATTCTTGCCTGCTCCTTCAGCAGAGCCCTCTCAAGGTTTCTCATCTGACTTGCAAGCTGGCTATAACTCATGATCCCAAGCCACTTAATGAGCAGGACTTGGTCCAGTTCTCCGTACTCGAGACTTGCATAAAAGCCTGATGCAGAAAAATCAGTCCCCATTCTGCATAAGTGCAGGAGAGGATTTAAAAAGATGCAAGGCCATGAATGCCCTTTCACATGGAGAAAATAAATAAAAGAGGTCCTGATCAATCACAGTTTTCTACTTTGTTTTCTAGGAACAAGTGGGAAAAGAGAAGGTTTGTCATGATTTGAGGTCTCACCATAAGCTCACGTCAGGCTGTGCTGGCCTGAGCAGCACTGAGGGAAAGGAGTCAGTGCCACCTGCAGAAAGCAGCAGTGAAACATTGACAATCAAATGAGCCCAGGCTGTGGGGAAGACGCCACAGAGCATCTCTGCTGCTCAGTCCCCAGGCAGAGTCCCTGCAGCTGTGAGCAGCCAACAACAAATGCCTTTATCCACAGCCAACACAACTGTAATAGGGAGCACCAAGGGAGTACAGGGGAATCCACAGAGCAGTCTCCCTAGGAAGCTGCTGTTCTAATTAATTAATCATCAAAGAGGCAGCTGCCAAGATTAAGAAGAACTATTTTAACCATCTTTTATTTAGTCTGTGCACACGGTGCCAATTTGAGGCATCATCTGCCTCAAATTCCTCCTGCTTTCCCTTACAGCACTTGATCCCACTTTGAGGAACAAAGCCAAAATCTCTGTGTGGAGAATGCTGAAATCACTCTGACCCAATGACCACACCTGGGGATCATCTCCCAGCTGCAAGCAGCAGCCATTTCTATTAAATAAAAGGTCTCAGCTTCTAAACAATAAAATCCACCTTCCTTTTGCATTTCATTAACAGTGTGGGACAGAGAGAAGCACACTGCAAACCACACTACCAACTCTCAGCTTTCCCAAACAATTGGCAGCAGAGCAGGTTTCACCTCACCCCGTCAGGCCACCACAAACATGCAGCAGTGGTGAGAGATCTCAGGGCCTTCAGCAAATGAATGTTCACAAAACACCTACAATTCTCCAGTTTCAAACAGGTTTTGGGGATTTAAGCCTAAGTGTGGCTTTCCTTGCAAAATGAGGGCGACAAGAGTTCTGCCTAAAAAAAACCCTATAGCTATATATGTACACACATGCAGTTTTTCAACACAAAACATTATTGTTTATCTTGACTTTTCCTAATTTTTGCAAAAAACTATGTTGTAAAAACAAGCACGACATACAAATGTAAAAAAATGAGTGTACAGCTTTGATGTGTGTTCTCCCCACACACAGAACAGTCTTTGTTCACCTGTGACTGTGTCAAGCTCCTGTACACCCCTCCCCACACGGGGCAGAGCTTTGTCATTCACAGACTGTCACCAGACAACCACAAGTGACATCAGTCCCCGTTCTCACTGGGAACACTCCTCCCACCTTACAGTGAATATATTGGTTACATCACCCACACCTGAGCCAGAGAATACATCTTATTGTCAAACTGCATTGCTCAAACCACTAACTAATCACTCTTGGAGACAGGTAAACAAATGAATGACTGCACACAGCTCCCTAATTGTGGCTGTCAGGTGTCAAACAAATCCCTGGATTGATTCTTATTACATTTTACATAATTTAAAATTATGATTACAAGTACAAAATATTCCACTCAGCAAGAAGATCCTAACAACACCTGGCTGGACAGATGGTGAGTTCACTTGGCTGTGGAAACAAAACATTTTGCAGGACATGGGCCTTACTTGGACTGACACAGAATGGGGCACAACCTCTGACACTGAAAATTCCTCCAGCTGCAAGGCCATGAATCCTCACATGATCAAATTTTAAGTCATATGGAGAGAATAAGATCACCACATTAATCAAATCCCATCAGATTTTATCCTCAGTGTTCAGGAAATTGCCAGGACAGCCATTTGTGTAAAGCTACTAGCCAGATCAGCACTTAAAAACTGTTTTACTTTCTTAATGAAAAAATAATGGATATTTGCATGAAAGAAAAACTATGAGGATTGCACAAAGGAATTAGTAAGCGTATCAACTATCTAGACACCTCAAGTAAGCAGAAGTAATATTTTAATGCTTTTATCCCTCCTATCCAAAAAATGTAGTTGATCTAAAAAACTATTCCAAAGCCATACGTGGCAAATATTTTATTAAATCTACAGAGAAGTACTGCTCTGATTTCCAGCCATATTAATACTTACTTTAGCTAAGTAAGTGCTGAAATGAAGTCTTGAAGACTCAGCATAAATCAGTTTGGGTTAAAAGGGACCTTCAAAGGTCATTAGTCCAATCCCAACATGTACAATACAGTAATGTTAGAAATATCTGGTTTCTAGATGCATTTCTAATGTTTCGAGCTTTAACCTCTGACTGAACACATTCCCAAAAAATTCCATTCCTTTATCTGAAGCTGCCTGAACACCAGATTTTAAATTACACGCACAAGTGTTGGGAACACCATTGAGGCTTTAGGAGAAAAGGATATTAGAACCAGGATTAAATTAGCAAGGATATTTAAAGTGGCTGCTTAACGTGCTATTTTCAAACGGGGAACCCAGAAGATAACATGAGATAGGGGCTTTAAAAAAGCGAAAACATTCAGTACGCACTGAATGGAAGCACTGCCGCGTCCCTGAGCTGGAAGCGCGACGATCAGACCCGTCCTCAGACCCAGCGCTAAAACCCGCACGCACAAGCATTAAGCAGGGGGAAGTAGAAGAAATTAAGTGCCGGAAAGCGGAAAATGTAATCCCGAGCAGCGCCTCTCCTGAGGCACCGCCAGGGACACTCGGGGAGCCCCAGCGCCGGGTCCAGCCCACACGGACCGGGCCCCCCCGGCCCGCAGCCCCCCTTGGAGCCCCGGTTCGGCTCTGGGGACTCCCCCGGCCCGCAGCCCCCCTTGGAGCCCCGGTTCGGCTCTGGGGACTCCCCCGGCCCGCAGCCCCCCTTGGAGCCCCGGTTCGGCTCTGGGGACTCCCCCGGCCCCACCGCCCCTTCCCGGCGGTGGCGGCACCCGGCGGGACCCCTCACATCCCCTGCGCTCCCGGCTGCCCTCCCTCCCGGTCTCCCTCTCTCCGTACCGGCGGGCAGCAGCGCGGGGCCGGGCGGCGCGGCCGGAGCTTGGCCGACGGGGATGAAGGGCACGTTGAAGCTGAACTCGGTGGCGGAGGACGAGAAGAGCAGGTTGGTGCCGGCGCCTCCCCCGGGCTTCGCCGCCGCCATAGCCGCGCCCCGGCCACGTCCCTGTCCCGGCCCCTTCCGCCCTCACCCAAGATGGCGGCGGCGGCCGCGCGCAGCCGTGAGGGGCGGGAGGCGGGCCCGGCCGCCATTCCCGCAGGAAGAGGCGGAGGAGGGCAGAGAGGAGGAGGAGGAGGAAGCGGCGGTGATCCCCGCGCTGGGCTAGCGAGCGGGACTCGGCGGCCGCAGGGTGCCGGCAGTCCCGCGGCGAGGCGCGACGCCGCCATGCCGTGCGTGGGCGACTGGCTGAACAGCCCCCTGAGCATCGTGCAGGGCATCTTCGGTGAGGCGGGGCCCGCGTCCCCGGGCGGCTGCGGGAGCGCCGCGGGGGCGCCCGGAACCGGACGGCGCTTCCCTCATGGGGTGGTGGCGGGGGAGCGGGGAGGCCGCCTCCGTGTCTTATATATCTCTTTTATATCTTATATGTCTCGTGTACAGCGTGTGTTTTGTGCGTCTCTGGGGTCTTCCGGCAGTAACGCGTGCTGTCTGCCCGCGCTGCTGGTGTTAGCAGCGCTATCAGCCGCGGCTGCTTCCGTGCTGGGCTTGAGCTCAGCTAAAAGAATACCGACATTAAAATTGCCGACACGGCGGGGAAAGCGGTGCCTCGGCTCCTGCCCTTCCCCACTGGGCTGTTGCGGAGCTTTCCCTCGCTCCCAGGAATGGCTCTGTGCTTCTTCATTGGCCTGGAAGGGTTTGAAATGGGAAGTCAGTGAACTGCAAGGGGAATAAATTAGTCTGAGGTGCACTTACTTCCCTAAGATAGAAGTGAAAGTTGGGTTTGTTTGATGTGCTGGGAGAATGCTGGGTAAAAGTCTCGTATGTGGTGGTAATGGGCACATCGATATGTTGTTTTTTGTAGCCCAAAATGCTCCCAACTCTGACTGGGAGAAGAAGGTAACCGAATACTTCAAGGAGAAATTAAAAGAAAACAATGCTACTAACTGGGTAAGAATATTTTATTCTTTTCGAGTTACACTTTTTCTTAAGCTCTGTTATTTTTTACACTTTATTGCAGTGGCTTGCTTTTGATAAGTCCTGCCTTTTCATGATAAGCGTGCAGCTGAATTTCAGTCCCAGGCTTTGGGATGTGGAATTTGCACCTCGGCTGCCTTAACCTGAGTGCAAAGCCAGGATGTAAAATCCCAGCCCGTCCACCCTCCTTCCCTCAGGCCATCGCTGCTGGCTGCTGCCACTCTGTAGCACAGTCAGTAGATGGCAGGAGATTACAAATATTGTCATTTTTGGGGAAGTGTGAGTCCTCACTGTGCACCACAGGCTGCTGGTTATAAACCTCTTCTCCCAGGGGCTTTTATCACAATGTTGCAAACTTGTGTGGGTTGAATAAATAGTTGCCTGGACCTTCAGGTTTTAAGGAAAAAACACTTTTCCTACTAAAACTGAGCTGGGTCAGGCCTGGTTTGTGCAGTTTAGCAGGGAAGCTGTGCTTTAGGTTTTAAAAATAAAGTGTGCACGGTTGAGTTCAAAAGCTGATGCTTTTCTAAAAGGCTGTAGCAGAAATGACATAATGGGACTGATAAGGGGATTAGAAACTTGCAGATCAAATCTGTTCTACCTGTCACTAAAAACAGGTGAAAATTCTTTTTCTTTCTCTGTCTGTGAAAGTATTCTGTATTTGGTATTAAATGGTTGCCTAAATCAAAGCATTAATGGCAAAATTGAGTCAAATTTACAACATCAGAAGGAATTGAAATGATATTTTCTCACTCAAAAAAACCAGGAGGGGATACACTTTTGTTAAAATGCCAGTTCCTATAAGGCCACTTACGTTTTTTGTTGCATTTTAATGTTGGATGTGGGCTTTTTCAACAAATATTTTCTCTTCAGATTTAGAAAACCCTATTCATATTGCAAGTTCTTTGAAGTTATACCATGTGCTTAGGCATTGATTTTTTTTTTTCTTTCTATTTTCCCATTGTCATGTAAAACTGTGTGGAAAAGACTTCCCCAGTGTTGACTTGGAAATTAACACACAGGTTTTTCAGGACCTTTTGTTATAAGAATTGTGCATGCAAATTGCTTTAGTACTGCTGGTATATAGCACATGGTGGAAGTGCTGTTAAGAAATAAGATAAACAATAAATTCTGTTTAATCCTACAGCTGCAATAATTCTAAATTTAAAAGTTGGTTTCAAATGTTGTACAGTTTTCATGCAGTTCCAGTGACCTATAACCACTTCTTTCATAGTCCAGTGTTTGGGACTGGAAGAATTTGGGAACTGTTAAGTGCCTGAGAATTGTAACAATTATCTGTAACAGCCATGGCGGGAAGGTGTTGGGTTAGATACACTTTGTTACTGCTTAAATTAGGATGGGAGATGCACTCAGGAAATATTGAGTGTGCTGTAGGGGTTTGAGGAGGAGGATATACTGGATGGTCAGAGAATTAAGTTTTTGTGCTGCTTTTGGCTCACTTCAGGCCACTGCTCAATATATATCAGTTGTGTAGAACCATCTCCTTTTTCACAGGTCCCATCACTGAATGATGTTCCTGTACATTACCTAAAACCCAACAGCTTAGTGAAATTTCGCTGCATGGTTCAAGATATGTTTGATCCTGAGTTTTACGTGGGAGTGTATGAAACAGTTGACCCAAACACAAATGCACGCGTAAGTGAAATACAGAGTTACTGTTTTAGCAAATGTTTGTCATTTTACTCGTTCTGGTCCTTGTATTTGTCTAGTTTGTGAGTTAAACCTATGAAGTGTGGACACTGATAGTAACTGTGTTCAGCTCAAGTGGCATCAGTAAAACATAACCTGTTACATTTCTGTGGAGGAATAGAAAATGTTGAAATGATGAATGGTTTGGCAGGATGTCTGTGAGGGACTTTGGGCTTCAGTGATTTTGGTGGGATTCGTGTTAAGGATGCTTTCAAAACCAGAATGATTGCATTGCCTTTTTCCTCTTGACAGGTTTTGCATTTTGGTAAATACAGAGATGTGGCAGAATGTGGGGTAAGTTATATAAATTATATGAACTTAGAGAAGAAATATTGGGATGGAAAGTTGTAGTTTTGTGTGACAGAGCTTCTTTGGTACTTGGAAATGGATTCCTGAAAATACTACTCTAAATGCAAAGTTAATCTTTGGTTTGGAAAGCAGAGTATTCATAACTGCTCACTGGCATTCTAATTTCAGCAGGCTTCCAGCTGTTTCTGTTGTATTTAAAATTTGTTTTGGTTGAGTGGAGGGGGGAATGCTCATGACCTTGAAACTGTCTGCTATGGAAAACAGTTACTTTTAGTAGTGCAGTGCAGTTTGAATCAAAACATTATATATCCACTTTTTCCTGAGTTATGTAGTCTTACATGTTAATTGTAACTTCTGGCTGAGTAACTGAATCTGTGGGGTTAGTTTAAAAAAAGAAAACAAACTGTAATCAGTTTTTTAACAAAATTTCTCTTGGGATTCCAGCCTCAGCAGGAAATTGATTTGAACTCCACACAAACAGTCACCTTGGAGAGACAGACTTTCTACTGTGTTCCAGTGCCTGGTGAATCAGCATGGGTGAAGGAAATATCTTTTTTGACTGAGCCAGTGTTTTGTTATACAATCAGTGGTCACCAGCTAATTAATTAGATTTAAGGAGATAACTTTTTTTTTCTTTTAGTGAATCTGAAGAGGTGACAGGTGTAGAAAGAGGAAAAAAAAAGTTGATGGTGTGCAATATGCACAAAGAGAATGCAAATTAATTTAGGTGCATTTGTTTTGATTTAGTGGGCATTTTTGCTTGGGAGAGTCTTGAAAATTTCTGTTAATTTCTAGTTGCAAATGCTTAGGAAAAGAGAAACTTCAGTTGAGCCACTGGCATTTTCTACAGCAGGACACTTACACAGTGAGCCTCTCCTATAAAACACATGAAGCTGCACAGGTTAAGATTAGGATTTTGTTTAAAAAAACCAACAGCTAAAGCTTAGTGTGGTTGAGTTTTCCCTGCTCAGTGTGTGCCTTCCTTAGCCCTTGATCCCACGCCTACATCAGTGCCAGCCAGGCCCGAGTGAGCCCCTCCACCTCCTACACCCCCAGTCGCCACAAGAGGAGCTATGAGGAGGATGAGGACATGGATCTGCATCCCTCCAAGCAGAAGGAGCAGCACATGGGTAAGAGCTGCTGGTGGTGAATGGTTGTTCTGATATCTTTCCAGGATTTGGCAAAAATTCATTGCTAAAAACTGAAATATTGGCAGCTGATTTCATTGTTCTTGTTGTTGCAGCCTTTAGGATTTGGAGGCTTTGTTGAAGTCAGGGGTTTGGTGTGAAGGAGTGTGGGAGAGCCTATAGCATGATATGTGTGTTGTATGACTTGCTGACAATCTACAGAAATTTTTAATATAAACTGGGTTTTATGCTTATTCTGACCTGGTTTTTTTGAACATGAAGTGCAGGAAACTATTACTTCTGCAATTCTATGGACTGTAGGGGAAAAAAAAATCATTCCCCTGGTTTAAACATTGCATTTTCAAAATAGATTTCTGGCCATGTTTGGATTTCCAAGACACGTAGATCTTTGCCAGTACTCTCTCACACTTAACTTGATTACATAAAGTATGTACTTCTGAGACTTCTCATATTAAGAGTATATTCTGTCAAGTATATTGCATTATTAAATATTCTTGTCTCAGATGTCTTGTTAAATTAGTTTTATTCTGTGTTGCTCACTGAAGAAAGTTGTTCAGTTTTGCATTTCTGTTTAAAAAGCCTGCAAATCCTGTTTTTTCAGGCAGTGGAGGTGATATCCATGGATGTGTGGAGCCAAAGAGATTAGAAACAGAAGCTTCTGCAGGCCATCATGTCATTTCTCCCAACTGCTCCCCTCCACTTGACCTAAATTTCCCCTTGCCAGGAGAGAAGGGACCAGCATGTCTTGTAAAGGTGAGAGATGGAGAGGTGACGAGCAGGGCTGTGCTCTCTGTGAGCCAGACAGAATCAGCCTTGTGCTGGTTTGTAGGCACAGAAATGTTTCTCAACTCCAGAGTTTTGTTTCTAGAGATATTTACATTCTTTCTCTTCACAAACA